AGTCATTGAGAGGCTATTTAAGCTGCCTCCTCATTGACAGAAAGCAGCCAGCAGGTCAAGGAAACAGAAAAGAGCATTCTAGATGAAGAGAAGGGCAAGGGCAAGCCCTGCACCCAGAAGGAAGGATTTGGTCAGCAGATAGAAAGGCCAGTGGGGCCAGGGCCTGCTGAGTGAGAAGCAGGGGTGGGGGGGGCGAGCTGAGGTCCAGGGCAGCAAGGTTGTAGGTGCAGCCACTTAGAGGCAAGTCTAACTCCAAGGCTGAGTACAGTGGGGAGAGCTGGAGGGTTGGAAGCAGAGCAGGGACACAGAGGGATCTGTTTTCCCAAGAGACCACTCCGCTGGCTGTGTGAGGAGTGCACTGTTGGTTAGTTGGACGAGACCCAGTCCTGCTCTCCAAAGGGCTGAGTGTCTGTGAGGTCTCCGCCTTGCGAGTTGGGGGCGGGAGGGTGGCTCTGCTGACCCTCAGCCCTCCAGCTGCCCGTGCTACTGGCCCACGACAGCAGCCATGCCCGCATTGTCCATCCATGGAGACCGACCATCTGAGCTGCTGGAGCATCTGAGGAATTCCTAGAAGCCCAGCCCGGGGCCCATGTGGGTGACCAACTGGACTCTGGAGGAAACCCCCACAGTGTGGCACCAAGAGAGTTTCTCAGCCTGTTCAGATGAGCCTGGCCAACCTGGCAAACCAAGACTAACAAGTCAGATGAGCAGCAATTCCAGAATGGGACGGAAGCCCTCGGACCCCAGCCCCTCTTTACCCTCTGTCCAGCTGATGTCCCGCAGAAAGAACAGTTGGGATGGTCACCCCTTGCAATATGATCTGAAAGTCCCAGGCCTTCATGGAGACTTCTTAGAGACAGCAATGGGGCTGGGTGGTGGTTCTGTACAACTTTTAGCTGCAGAACCTCGTTCACGTCAAAGTGTGCGGAGAACCTTAGTACATGAGACTGAGGAAAGCTTTACCCTCCAGATTGGAGCCAGGATGCGCTTCCCAGACTCACTCCCATTCTTCTTTGTCTTCACTCACTGGAAACCTTGGGCCAACCTCTTTTGCTCTCTGGCCTCAGTTTTCTTCTCTGTCAATGCAAAACTGGAATGTGTAATATCTCCCCACCCATCTCTCCACATGAGACCCCCTCGCCCCTGGCAGCAGAGCTTGAGGAAAGTCCCTGGGGATCCCTCCCACACACAGGGAAAATGGACGAGTGCCCTGCATTGCCCACCCACCTGTGTGGCACAGTCCATTGGACTGGTGTCAGGGAGGGGCAGAGCAGGGAGGAAGCCCCCCAGCAGCCTGCCCAAATCCTAGCTAGAGGGAAGTCAATTTGAAGGAACCAACCACCCCACTGATTGTGGAACCTCAATTTGAATGATTTATTTCTTTCACAGTCAGTGTCCGAGCAGCCAGCTGGGCACTGGAGTTTCACTCATGCCGCCCTGGCTGAGGCCGGGCTGCAGCCTCCCAGGCCTAGGGCTTCCAGTTCTGGGCATAGACTGTCTGGGATCCACTCAAGTCCACTCCAGGCCTCAGTTCCCCCACGGTTAATGCTATTTTTTCCCCCGAAATGACAAGCCCAACACCAAAACAGTCAACTATTTTTATCTCCAGATTAATCACAAAAAGGCTAACGCTTCCACCTTCCTTGTGATTAAAAATTAGGAGACCAAACTCTATAGTGGTTGAGGATAATAACCAGTCCTGTGAGGGGCTGCATGAATAATGCATCGCCAGGCTCAGGCTGCTCGGCAACTTCCTCCCCTCCCGGCTGCCCAGCCCCAGGCCCAGTCTGAATGGAGAGGTAATGAGGGCCCCCCCTTCCACGAGAGCCACAGCTGCCAGGAGCGACTGTTGATTTCTATTCAGTCTGCTGGCCCCCAAACAGTCTCCCTCCGCACCCACCCC